GGATCTGCACGGGGCTCCTGCAGCTTCAGCACATGGGCTGGCAGCCCTGGGTATGGAATTTCACCCTCTCAGGGGCTAGGCAGCTGCCAGAGCCCTGTGGGGAAGGGATAGGACAAAGATCCGCTCGCCTGGGACAAATATGTCCTTCCGAACTGGGAGCTCCCACAATGTCCCGGCCAAAAGCATCAGAACGCCGAACCAGAGTATGTGGAGCCAGAGGGGGGCCACTGGATAGATAGGGTCCTACAGCCAACCCTCTGATCCACCATTGCCTGTGAGACACCCACTTTCCCCATCTTTGCCCTAGGCATGTCAGGGAAGTGGAGACCAGAGTCAGCATCCTCCTCCTGATATCCACCCTACTGTCTCCTGCCCAAGGACAGGGGCAAGGTAGGGGGCGCTGGAGGATAGGCCTGGCCTCCCAGCAGAGGGAAACTGCAGGTGGATGCCCTGAGTCATGAGCACGGCGCGAGATACATCCCCAGAGCAGACCAAGCCACCCTGTGCTGCCTGGCAGAGAGGGAACAGCCAGAGGAAAGCCGAGCCTCAGCTGCACATGCCTCCCCGTTTCTGGTGCATGCAGGAACTATGTCTGTAAAAGGTCTCCACCTTTGAGGTCCCCAGAGCCCTATGCTGGAACCTTATAAGCCACCTGGTGTGTGGAAGACCTGGGCTCCCTTCTAATTGCAGAGCGCCTGAGCAGGCCACTTGTTATCTCTTGTGCAACACCGTGGCTGTCTCGAGCCTGTTGCAGGAGTTGGGCTGTCCCTGGGCCAAACATGACTGCAGAGTCGACAGACAGTCTCATCAGAAAGTCCTGGTCGTCCAGCTGGAGCTGGGACGGAGAGCCAAAGATGGCACCGCAACACCCACAAAGAGGCCAAGGCGCTACCTGTAGCGATAGCAGGCTCCTTCGTGAAGGAAGCCAGGTGAGTGGAGGCAGCTGCAGATTGCCTATATGGCTGGGGTCTCCAGAATCTGCGAGACTGTTGAAACAGGCTCCCCACACACACTGTCACCCCACACTAAACCACATACTGTACCAAACCCTGTACCGCACAAAGTACACAAACACTCACTGGAACAAGTGGAGATCAAGTGTCTTAGCCTCCTAAGACCCAAACTCTTTCATGCATTTTTAATTTCTCTTTGCTATTTCGGTGGAGTAATCATGTGGAAAACTTTTTATTTGGTGTCTGAACACAGCAGCATTTTTCCTGAGTACAAAAACAAAATGAGAAACAACAATTGTGTCCCTTTGAGCAATATGGCTCAATTGAAAGATATTTGAAAGAGCAAAACTGAGTATTGTTATCTTGACAATTCAAAATGTGATGTCCCCATATGTGGACGTCATGTCCCAGGAGGAGAAATATCCATGCGACATGACCTTGGGGGGGGTCATTCCCCATACATATGAAAATGTAACAGACTGCAGAGATATTCTCAATATGATAGAGACCAGAGAGATCATCCAGCTTGTTATCAGCGCTCAGTTCTAAATCTTCTATCTCTGATAGTATGAGAATCCATTAATGTCTATAGAATTGACAGGATCACTGCTGACAGGTTTTTAGAGCAACATATGATCCATCCAGATGATGCTTTTTCAGGTAAGGCCTTGTATATTCCAGCAAGACAATCCTAAACTGCATACTGCATCTGTTACAGCCAGAGATGGGCAGTAACGCTGTAATCCGATTACTTTTTTCAAGTAACGAGTAAAGTAAGGGATTACTATTGCAAAAACGGTAATTAGATTACCGTTACTTTCCCGTAGGAACGCTGCGTTACTGCGTTACTAAAACTGTGATTTTTTTGCGAGAATGTCTCATGACAGTGACGTAAGCGAGTGCGACGTTCGTGACAACAGCTGTGTGCAGATCAACAATGGATCATATATCGAGTGCGGGAGAGAGTATGAGCGTGCAGCGTTTAAAGCGTGGAAGTACTGACCTTACTTTGAGTTTGATTCCATAAAAAGTGACAAAAACATTAGTGTCCGTTGTGCTTGGGAAGAAAACTTCTTTTTACAGCGAAAAAAACCCCTAAACAAGCACCGAGTGCGCTAATGGGAAACTCACAGAGAAACTCGCGGATTCTTCCACTGACCGCTGCGGCACACCTGCACCAGGGTAAACCTCCGCCTACCCTACTCCTGCTTTACAGGTGAAAATAGAGCAAAAGGACCGCTGAGTCTTTGACTTTATTTATTTTCTGCTGTGTTTTACTTGCATCTATTTGAAAGACTGAGTGTAAACACACAAGAAAAATTTATTTTATGTGCTGGAATGTGCAGAAAATAGGTTTAAATGTTAAACAAATTTCTTCCAGTCAGAGAATGTTGCATATAATTAAATTTTTGCTTGATGCATAAAGTTAAAAGATTAAAACTAATAAAACAAGTTTTAAAAAGAGACTTTTCCATTTGATTACATTTTGTATGATGGATTATGCAGAAAAAGTAGAATTGGGCTGAAAGATCTATCGCTTTATCACCTATTCAGGTTGTAAATCGTGTTTTTAAAAAGTTACTAAGTAACTAAGTAATTAATTACTTTTGAAAATAAGTAATCAGTAAAGTAACAGGATTACTTTTTGGGGGAAGTAATCAGTAATTAGTTACTGATTACTTTTTTCAAGTAACTTGACCAACACTGGTTACAACAGTATGGCTTTGTAGGTAAGAGTCGAGCTTCTGCCTGTAGTTCACGTCTTTCACCAACTGAAAACATTTGGAGCCTCATAAAAAGAAAAATATGACAAACAAGATGCAGAAGTGTTAAACTGTAGCCTGGATCAAAACATAAATGGGACAATTTCCCTCTACCAAAAGTCCAGAACTCAGATCTGATTTCATTTTTCAGATGTTAAAAAATCTGAAAAATGAAATCACAACCCTGTGATTGTCCCTCTGTCAGCAATGACGAATACTAAATAATAATTTCCATTTTCATGAAGCAGCTGTTGGTTTATAGCATTTATCCCATGAAGGACACTTTTTTTTAATTGTAGCCATTACCTTCAAATGCTCACACATCATTTGGTTGAGTTGAATTTGTGTTAAAAACAATTTGATTTCATAAGAGAAGCTTGAGTGATTGTGAGTAACTATTAAGGATGCAGACTAATAGTTCCAAAGAGTCATTGTACTGATTTACACTGTTAAACATGTTGTAGAAAGCTCTTTAACAAATGATATATTACTTATAGTATAGGTATGCATTATAAAGACACACTGTTTAGCCACACTATTAAATTACACCCTTGCTTTATATACACGTCAGCAGCTCAGACCCATGGGGGCATGGAAAAAGATTTGATAGGTATCCGGTGTTATTCGACACCATGACTTTGTGGAACCTTTTGTTTGTTTAGGTTTGGGGCCGGGCCTCTGCGAATCAGACATGTTCCTAATCATCCAGCAGATGCAAAGTCACAGCAGAATATTACAAGTCTGAATGTCAGCATAGTGCCTCAGCTTCTTTGTTGTGCGTCCAAGATGTTCTTGAGCAGTTGCCTTCGTACACTGTCATGAGCAGTATTGTCCTGCTTGGGGAGACCACTCCTGCTGGGGGT